ATATCGGTGGCGGCAGGGATATCTTCGGGGAGACTCATGGTGAACTAGAGTCAGGTATCACCTTCAAAGGCAAACTCCAAGTAACCCCCTTCTCTAGCCAGAATCCATCTCCTAAAGTTTCTACCACTTCTCCAAATAGCATTGTCAACTGTATAAGGAACGTTCAACCATGAGCCTTTGAGCAGCATTTCACAGTCAAGCCCTAACAGTGAATGAGAGAAGTTCTCTCAGCACAGGTAACACTGGGCTTGATGCTAGAGTTGAAATTGGTAGCATCCAGATATAGACGTGAAGCATTAGGGGGCAGGTCACAGACATGATGAAGGCTCAGATAGCCTGCAGTGAGCAGGGTGAAAAGATTGGTCAGTTCTCTAAGGCTGTAATGTAAGGTGATCACTAAGGGAGGGGGAGGAGGGGAGGATGAATAAGGCTGAGAAGAAAGTGTAAAGAGCTTGAAATGTGAGAAGTCAAGTTTGGGCCAGATGCTGAACCATCTGTGAGACCATCCCTTAGAGTATTTGCATGGTCTGACTTGTTAGACAAAGCCTTTCCTGAGTAATTCAGCAGAGAATGTGGAATTTTTTGCCCAAAGTCCTTTCATTGTTACAGGTGTTCTGTGGGACTCACCTTGGGTAACCTTCAAGGGTGCTTCAAGGGCATTTCCAAGTGTGTGCCTTTGTTCCTGTAGACTTGGGCCATGCTCAGCCACTGGGTTCTTTCTTTAATAATTTATAAACTGTTTCCTTTTATCTACAGAAGTATAAAGCTTTTAGAGCTGGCAAGGACCTTAAAGATGGTATGGTCCAAACCCGAATAGACAGCCAGGGAGCAAATACCGCTGAGATCATCAGGGGCAGAGGTGAACTGGAATTCAAGTCTTTGGACCTTAAGACTATAAAGCTTTCAGGCATATTTAATAAACAAAATGCCATAGAACAGAAAGGTAAATGTACCGTAGTTTACTCAAAGAAACATGATAAGCATGTTCGATGTTGAAATCATATGAAATAGGAACATTGCATTTAATCAAGAATAAAATCTAACTCAGAGAAATTTAGCTCTGAGCTTCCTAGTAGCTGAATAAAGAGAGAAAGATAGTCATATTTTTCTCTCTTTTCTGGTAAAAGGAAGCATAGAGATAAAAGAATTAAGTCCCTATCAGGAGCAGATGAAACTGACTGGATCCAACCTCATTCTGTAATTATTCACTACACAAATATGCAGATCTTACTGAAAACACAAGTTTAAGTAGCTCATTAAATAGTGGAAAGTGAATAGTTAAAAATCCATGTGTTAGGTGCTATGAATGGGAGCTTTGGTCGGGGGAGGACATGGCATGGTGCTAATCCGATAGAAAGGGGATATATAACTCATGATGAGAAACTCACCAGAGGGTACTGATTATCAACAGTCAATGGTTTGTTGAGGAAAGAAGGGCTTGGTGGTTGAAAATGGTTCTAAGCAGAGGGAATTCCACTAAGAAGGCCTGGTGGGTTTGGTATTTATAGTTGCCTTTTTTTTTTTTTTTTTGCTTTGGTGTGTGTGTGTGTGTGTGTGTGTACTAGAACTTGAACTCAGAGTCTAGAAACTGTCCCTTAACCTTTTCACTCTACCACTTGGGCCATATCTCCACTTACGGCTTTTTGGTGGTTTATTGACGATATTAGTTTCATGGACTTTTCTGCCTGTGTTGGCTTTGAACTGTGATCCTCAGATCTCAACTGTCTGGGAAGCTAGAATGACAAGTGTCAGCCACCAACATCTGGCTAGGGTTCTGGTTTCATATGTATACAATGACTAGAATGACATCTGGGATGCTGAGAGGCTTCTACTCTCTAGATGACATCCGTTATTTCTAATACTTTCTCACTCTCTACCCTCCTGCTGGAGATGAGAACCTCTTCATTTTCAACTGTAGACCTGTCTCAATGTAAGAGACAAATTCATGCCTCCCTTTCCTTCAGAAGTCATATAAGCTGGCTTTGTTTTAGACATTGGAGGGAAGGAAAGGTCCAGGATTGGTTGAGGAGAGAAAGGAGTGAGATTATGGTAGGTAGATATGAAGAGAGAGAGAGAGAGAGAGAGAGAGAGAGAGAGAGAGACAGAGAGACAGAGAGACAGAGAGACAGAGAGATAGAGAGATAGAGAGAGACAGAGAAAGACAGAGACAGAGACAGAGACAGAGAGACAGAGAGAGAGAGACAGAGACAGAGAAAGACAGAGAGACAGAGAGAGGGAGGAGATGAGAGGAGAGAGAGAGAATGAGTGAGAGACAGAGAGACAGACAGACAGACAGGACACAGACACGGAGAGAGGACAGGAGAGTGACAGGTACCAGAACAAGGGAGACATGGAAGTCTGGAGAAGACAGACTGAATGTATCCTAAATTGAATTGGGACTCTTTGAACACAGGAAGGCATGAGCACCATTGTCAACTGGTAATTTATCACTTACAGGTTAATATGCGGCTTGTCTAGGTGCTTTCCTAGAGGCATGATTGGTTAGAGGGATGGAGGAGGTCGCATCATGCATCAGGATGATATTTTGATTGGGTTGGAAGGTAGTGTGATTCAGGAGGGAATTGAACCTACCCCAGGTGATGGGCACAGAGGATGTGTCTGTGTAGGAGTGAATTCACTTTGACATAATGTTGGTCAATCTTTGGAGTGAACTTTCTGCCACTATGTATGCTTTCTTGTGTATTTATTTGCTTTACCTGATCACCTTGTGTGAGAGAAACCTTTCCTTAAAGGTGATAAATAAAAACCATACTAAAAGACCAAGTGTCTTCCTGTGGTGTTCAGGGGATGAGAATCATAGCCCCTCTGACAAAGATCTGTGACTGTCTGCACACCCCACTTCAACATGTCCATAATGAGTCTCACCTTGCTCTGCCTGGGCCTTCCGGACTCTGCGGGACCTTATCTTGATTGCCTGTGCATGTGTGTGTGTGTGTGTGTGTGTGTGTGTGTGTGTGTGTGTGCACGCGCATGTGACTCTTCACATCTGTTCATATGTGCCACCAGGATCCCATGAAAGAACTAACTACTGAGTCTCCTGCTCTGCAGAAACTTTCTGTAGGGCTTAAGATTCTCACCATTCATCCTTCTCAAGTAAACAAGGCTGGACTTTTGGTGCTTAGTGATTTTGAGATAAGTAGTGTACTTCTGGGGGAAAGACAGGGAAACATTCTTCTAGGATACTGCTAAGAGTGGAAACATTCGAGAATAAATTTAGATCCTAGGTTATAAGAGATTGGCTTGTATGTGAAAATGAACTTCATCAGCTCCTTGCAAAAAGCAGTGCAGAAAGATGCTTTTTAAAAAAATAAAGTTATAATTTTATTGTTATTATCAAGGTGTTGTACAGGGGAGTTACTGTTTCATGGGAGGTAATGAATTCATCTCTTTTTGGACCAGGTCACCACCTTGCTTTACTCCCCTCCTCCCCCATTCCTCCTCTCTCCCTGCCCACAAGTTGCATTGTTCATTTTCCACATGGTGTATGCTGAGTACCGTGCCTGTATTTTGTTCACCCTTCCTCCTTCCATTTCAAATGCTTTTGAATCTTTTATTGGAGCAGGGGCATGGAGGGAAACAAAAGTTCGAGATATTGTAGACAGAGTCCAAAACATGCCCTGCACCACCCACATCCCTACTTCTCTTGCACGAGTTGGCTAAGCGCTGGCAGGCAGTGGTCTCTTCCTCTCCCTCCAACTAGGAGCAATTGGAAAACTCATAGACGCTCAGGGTCAGTCAGTCCTTGTACCAGCTCAGGAAGTTTGTCTGTTCTTTTCTGTACATCCCTTTGCCCTTAGACTTAGGTATGTGGGGTCTTGTTTGAGTGGTTAGCAGGTGCTGTGTTGGGGCCCTGGGCTGGCAGGGGCGAGGCGATAGCTAGCACAATGGATGATATCAAGTGGAACCCACGGAACATTAGGCGCATACAGCTCAGAGCAGCTGGCTCTGAGGATTTACTGCATGTCTGCACAACTCGAAAAAATCTGCAGTTTGGGGGCGGGAGGGGGAGAGAGGAGTTGGTCCGCAAGCATCCCATTCCTCTTCCGGGGATGTTGGCTGAGTGTGCGTGTGTATGTGTGTGAGTGTGTGTGTGTGTGTGTGTGTGCGTGCGCGCGCGCGCGCGTGCTTTTGCAGACCAGCCAGCGATGCCTTCTGGACTCTATATTACCTTCGCTGATCTCCTTGTTGGTCTTCCTGTGCCCGCGTTTCATTTATCTTTTCAGGAAGGGGACTCGATCTGTGTCCCCTTCTAAATATGAGGTGCCTGTGCCGGGGCGCGTGTGTCCTTGCCTTCTCTTCTGCGTTGGTAAGTTGAGGAATGGAATAATAGCTGTCTCGTAGGCAAGCTGCAGGCAGCGGGTGGCGGAAAACATGGGCAGATCTGGGGCAGGATCCTCCTTCCCTCTTACTTTGAAAAACAAATTGGGGGGCTTTGGGACTTCCAAAGAAAGACCTCAGCAGGTCTGCCAAGTGTTGCTTGGGCTGCAACTTTCCAGAGGCATTTGCAAGCATTTGCAAGGAGCCCCTGGGGAAGTCTTTCTCCCCTCCCCCATTCCCTCCCCCCCCCCCCCCCAACGCAAGGATGCTTTGGGTTCCTCTGGGCGCAGGTGCGAGGCAGCCCAGGCGCCTCAGGACCGACGGCTCCTGGTTTGACCTGCACTTGAGTCTGGACAGAGAGCGCGCGTCCCAGTCAGGCCGGGGCTCGATCCAGCCCTCTGCCCACCATCGGTCTTGCGATCCCGTACCCCCTTCGTCCTCAGCCATCAGAGCCCTGGGCCAGGGAGACCAGGGCTCCAGGCCGGGTGCCAGGTGGTGGGCGGAGCCGAGAGCCACAGGGGGCGGTGACGGAGCGGCAGCGGGGCCCCGCCCGGCCCCGCCTGCATCTCCAGCCAGGCGGGGACTCTGCCCCGGGGACAACCGGGCTGGGGCCACCGGCTCTCCTCGCCGCTGCGGCGGCAGGTGCTGTTGGGGAGGGGGGGGGGGCGCTGCCAAAGCGGATCCCTGCAGCACCGGAGTGCGGGTGGCGGCGCAGAGGAGAGCGAGCCAGACGCGTCCTGCAGGTACCTGCTAGCGTCCCCGCTTCCCCGTGCGCTGCTTCGGGAGACTTCTCGTGTGACCCCTCAACTTTATTGCATCTTGCTGCCACCTCCCCCTTGACTTTCTGCGGCTCCCTTCCCTGGTGGCTCCGGTGGAGGCTGCAGGATGTGGCAGGTCGTGCGTGGAAAGGGACCGCAAAGGGACTGGACATGGTGTCGCGGGGGCTCCTAGCTCTGGCGCCTTTCGGTCATCGTCCAGTCCCTGGAGCCGGCAGCCGCTGGAGCCTTAGGCTCCGCCTGTTGCTCGAGCTGGGGGACATGGGGGTGTGAGTCCTTTGGGGGAAGATGATCTGCGATCAGCTTTCGGGACAAGAGCTGGGGTGGACGAATGCTTAACGGGGAAAGGTGGCACTTGGCAAAGGTGGCACTGGGGTGGCGGTGACGGGGCCCGGGAGCCTCCTCAGGGCGTTTCCTTGGCTGGGGGAAGCCCTTCCTTCCCTCTCTCTAGAGGAGGCGCTTTCCAGGCAAGTGTAAGTCCTCAGCTGTCTGCTCCGCCTTCCTCTCCCGGTGGTTTCTCTCCTCCCCTCTGCCCCGCAGCCGTGCCACGCTGCCCCCGACAGTTGCAGGGAAGAGCGGGCAGAGCGCACGGGGGGGGGGGGGGGGGTCCTGACCTGGCGCAGCGCTGGGGACAGCCGGCGCGCTGGCTGGCTGGGGGCGGCTCCCGCGGGCGGTCCAGGCCCAGCTGACTGCAGATGTGCCGGGGTGGGTGGGGTGGTGGAGGTGGGCGTGGGCGACTGGGGGTCAGGAAGTTCTCCCACCCCCATCTGCTCTCGGTGGCTGTGTGACCTCCCGAGGCTGGGGGGGGGGGTGGCTGGCGAGAGAGCCAGACTGTCCAGCAGGGGCTGTGGCGAGCCGGGCTGAGCCAGGGCTGGACGTGGTCTTTCGCATTGCAGAGCTCCTGTGCCCCCCCACCCCCCCCCCCCCGTACCCCTCCCGGATCCTCATATTCGGATTTGGGAACGCGCCCTTTGAGTCCTGTCCCCACGGCCTCTTCACCCCCATCTGGAGACAGTGGATGGGGTAATTCAAGAGGCCCCTGGCAAAGGCAGTGAGCAGCAAGGAATTACCTCCACTCTCCAGAATGATGCTAGGTCCTGGTTTGGCGGGGGCAGGGGTTGGGGGCTCCTCCCGAGAGATTCATGTCTCACTTAAGGTGTTAGTTTTTATCTTTCACTTTACCCTGGTGGAGAGAGAGACAGAGACAGAGAGAGACAGAGAGACAGAGACAGAGAGAGACAGAGACAGAGAGAGAGAGGACAGAGACAGACAGACAGACAGATAGAGACAGAGACAGAGACAGACGGACAGAGACAGACACAAAGACACAGAGAGACAGATAGCTGAGGAGACCTAGATCAGGTACCTCCCCTGTCCCTTTTCATATATTTGTTTAAGTGATTTACATATCCATTCATTTAGAACTCTAGAAGTTACACCTAGTGGCCCCCACTTCTTGTATTACTTGCAAATACCAGGGGTAAGCAAGCAGGAAGCAAATATTTTTCCCAGCACCTGCTCCTTGCTGAAGGCCTGGGCCCCAGTGTGTTGATTTGTCTCCATACTGGGGAATGTGGTATTGATATTGGGGTGTACACCTTACCTGGGTGGTGAACTCTTTAAGAACATAGGTTCATGCAGTGTGTGAATTCACTATCAACTCACCACAGGCCTTGGCCAGGGCCAGGGCTGGGGCCAGGATTGTACCGTGGGGCTGCATAGTGGAGATGTGAGGGTTTCCATCTCCAGCTTAATCTGGCTCTTCTTGTCATTCTGACCAGCCTCCTTCCTTCTCCTTTTCAGTTGGTCATTTTATAATTACAAATTGTTCACATTAGGATAAGAAAGATGCTGAAATGCTTAAGGACTCTGGTTCCAAAACAAGTTGTGAATGTTTTAAGGAGACTGACTGGTGGACTCTGGGTCAGCTGGATCTGGTATTTGAGCTGCTGTTGCCTGAGAGTCAAGCTATGCCTTTGCAGAGTGGAGCAAGTTGGAGGTCGGAAGCAGACTTTGCTCTATTGAGAAATGTTAAACAAAATCCAGTGTGTAGAAGTTTGGGTTTGCCAGCAAACCTAACAAAGGTGATACTTGTTTCTCTTCTTCTCCCTTCTCCCCTTCCTTGGAAGAGAAGGATGAGGCCTCTAGCCCTGTCTTGTCTGGGGGTGAATTCTGTTCTTCACTATAATCCTTCACAGATGTGATATCCCTCTGTTCTTTCAGGGCTCCCGATCTTCCCGAGTTTGGCATTTGGGATTGGAAAGGGTGTCAGCTTCAGGAAAGCATGTACTACAGTGTTTCCTTCCTCCTCCTCCTCCTCCTCCTCCTCCTCCTCCTCCTCCTCCTCCTCCTCCTCCTCCTCCTCTACCTCCTCTTCCTCCTCCTCCTTGTCCTTTTCTTTCTCTGTCTCTGTCTTTGTCTATCTGTCTTTCTGTCTCTCTCTTTGCATGCAATATTGGGGTCTAAATTCAGGAGGTTACACTTGCTAGGCAGGTACTCTACCACTTGAGGTAGGCCACAACATTTTTTGCTTTAGTTATTTGTCAAGTAAGGAATTGAGTTCCTGGATTGGCCTGGATTGGTGATCCTCCTATGTAACTGGAAGATTGGATGTAAATCACTACACAGTGTTTATTTGTTGAGAGTGGGTGCATCTCCCTTCCTTTTTGCCTGGGCTTGCCTTCTATTTGATTCTACTGTTCCCTGCCTCCTGAGTAGCAGGGACTATAGATATGAGTCACCTTGCCCCACCTCCCCTCCCTTTGTTTGTTTGTTTGTTTGTGTGTTGGTCCTTGGGCTTGAATTCAGGGCCTGGGCTTGTTCCTGAGCTTCTTTGGCTCAAGCCTAGTGCTCTACCACTTGAACCATAGCACCACATCTGGCCTTTTCTGAGTATACTATTGGAGATAAGAGTCTCACAGACTTCCCTGCCGGGCTGGCTTTGAACCATGGTCCTCAGCTCTCAGGCAGGAGCCACCCTTGCCCAGCTTGTTGACGGCATAGTATACGCCAGATACTCTGTTAGCAACTTTTCTGGGTACAGTTTTATTTAATCTTTTCAGCAACTCAGGAAGTCTGTACTTGTTCTTCACTGTGGTATTGGTGTGGGAACTGGCAGTGTTTAGAGTATCCTGAATTTGAAGGAAGCCAAGTGGATAAGATGGGACTTCATTCTTCCTAGTATCATAGATCCAGGCAGAAGATGGTGTTTTTGTTTTCATTTTTCTTGCCCCTGAGTATCTGTCCTGAATATTTTCCAATATGTAACTTGTGTAAAATATCCATCATGAAGAACAGGCCAGGACCTGGGGACCTGAGTTCTGGCCCTGATAGGTACTTCTTTATGGCCAATTAACATAGACTAGGTTAGACAAGCATCATTATTTCTAGAAAACATGTTTATAAATATAAGAAACCTAGAAAACCATAGACCACTTTGTCCCCAATTGAAACCTATCAAATGTATCAACAACCAGTAACCAACTCGAGTGTTTATTGTGCAAGTGGGATATGCTTGGTGTTATAAGAGCTGAGAGCAGGTGGAATCTGAGGTGTGGTCTTTGTGCTTGACCTTACAGTACATTTGTGGAGTCAAGATTACTCAGCAAAAGGCATGACGGCGCGTAACTCCCAACATAATCACAATTACTGTCACATTTATATAACCTATTGCCTTTTACAGGGATTATCTTAATTTAGGCCTCATAATAAGGGAGCGTGATGAACCACAGGCAAAGGAGAAGGTAGGAAGCCCACATTGCTGATAGAGAAACTGATGCAAAGTGAGCCTTGGACATAACCAAGTGTCTTCAAACATGGAGTCCATGATGACTCAGGTGGCTGAGTCTGAATTTTATCCTGAAGCTGGCTTTTGCACACTGGCCTTGACCATGTAAGGTGCTTAGTACCTGCTAGGGATAGAGAGTAAGTGGGAAAGGAGGAAAAGAATGACTGTTTTGTGTCATTGCCTTATTTTTCCCCCCAGGGACCTGCTGCTATGTGATATATGCAGTGAATCACAGTTCTGGGGAATACAGTAACAATGTTTTGAATGTGTAACCACATGCAGGAGCTGTTTTAGAATTTCCCTCCTTGACCATAATTTCTCCAGATCGTGTTTTGGAGTTTTGAGGTATGTGCACATTACAAAGGTAAACCCTATAATACTCTTAAAAATAATTACTAGACTAGATTGTAGCATCTTTCTTCCTTGGTTAGAAGGATTTTTTTTTTCAGTCCTGCAGAATTTTAGACTAAGGTTTGTTTGGAGGAGATACTGTATAAATATTGTCTTTAATTACACAAGTGTTGAGTGATAAAGGCTTAAAAACTGCTTGCTTTTAGCCAACAATGTTACAATGAAGCAGACCATGTTTACAGCAGCTGGCTTCAGTGGCCTTGCTGAAATTCCGATGGAATGAACTATCTTGCTGTCAGTTGAGCTCTTACTAGATGCGCATCCAAGTTAATGATTGAATTATGTGGTTATACACATTTTTACATGTCTAAATACATACCATCACTCATTCAACTAGTCTTTGAGTATTTATTGGAGGTCTTTCCTGTACAGGAGCAGGAGTGGGTATACTGTGGGAACTAGATATGGCAGGGGAAGATGCAAGGGGTAGGCAGGTATGAGAGGGATGCAAAGCTTAAATGGCGGTAATTATTCTAAGGGACATCATGGGAAAGAATGTCATGGTGGGTACTAGTGTAGATGGAGAGTCAGAGAAGACCTGAAGACATGTCATCTAGGGATGGATAGGAATTCATTAAGGCAAGAGTCAGAGAAAGAATGCCAGGCTGAGGATTCAAGTCAGGAATAAGCACTGAGTATTGAGAAAAGGTTGGAGGAGAAGGGGTGGGGAAGTTTGGGAGGAAGTCGGAGAGTTGATTGGGGCCAGATTATGCTGGGTTTCTTTTTTACCTTTTCTTTCTTTCTTTTTCTTTTTTGGTCAGTCATTGGG